TTTTGTTTGCATCCTTAATTAATTGGACTCAGCAGGCCTTTTTTCCCATACGGAATTGTAGTCTGAAAGGGTTAAAGGCCATGGCTACCGGACGTGCAGCTCCCAGACTACGCGTTCGGTCATAACATTTCTTATGCGAACCCAACCATATTTTTTCAGTAAAAAACGATAAGTTTTTACCATAATATTACTTACCTTTAGGTATTTTATCAAAAAATGTGTTTTTGCAACTGTTGAAGCCATAGTAAATCCAGTAAAATCTACGATTTGAAAGGGGGTATGGCCTAATCGTGACTATCAGCTTTGTAATGGATGACCGGACGCGTAGCCACTGCGTAATTTAAATTGCTACATTTGGGATGTCAGAGAAACAAGATATATATGTATATAATTTGTGTAAGTACATCATCTATGTATCTTTTGTACAACTAATAACTAGAAGTATGTGTTGTTGATCATCATCACAGTGTATAGCTTCATTCCAATACAGTACCAACATTTCTTGTCACCTGATATATTATATAAAAATTTGGGAAATGCACCATTAATATATGCAGAATTTATCTCCAAGTGGCTCTTAATTCAATGATAGTGTAGTTTGTGAGTATACTTATTTATAAACAATAGACTTTGCATTCTGCATGCATGCTTAACATGGATCAATTTGAAAAGTTTATCATTAAAAATTAGGTATTTTGTCCTTCCTTTGTAAATTGTGAATAATTGTACTGCCATAAGTCATCAGATGCAATCTCAGAGCCTCTAAATTAAAAAACTATCCAGGGGGAAGCCTCCTGACTGCCCCAGTGGAAGGGGGGCAACCCCCTTCACACCAACCCCAAAGCTTGCCTCGCGGCAAGCTGGAATCAGGAATGCCTTCGGCGTCCTGTGTTCAGTTTTTCAGATCATCCATTCCCATGCTTGTATCTACACTACGTTTTGAGGGCTTGACCTTATTAAAAATGATGTGTCACTTATCTAACTGTAAACACGTGCATGTACTATGAAGTGTGTAAGCACATGTGCTATATTATGGAGGAGTCAACATGAGCCAAGTTGTCCCTCAAAGGCTCGTTTCTCTTGTTGCAGTTTATCGTCGTCTCACTGAAGGATGGCATGTTCGCCAATGCCAATGTTCTCTTCAAGACCAAGTTCGTTGATGGCGTTTCCACGGTAACCCGCTATTCGCAGCAGCAGAATCAGTCACGTGGCAGTGCCCAGCAGAGGAGTGCTGCATCCAGCAGCCGGCCCACCAAGAAGGTCAGGAAGACCCATGATGAGAACCATCCGCATCCTTTAGCCGAGAGTACCAACACACAGTGATCAAACTACTGGTAGAACCTTAGTAGGGTTACTACTGGTACACTACCAACACACAGTGAGAGAGGTGCTGGGACACTACCAACACCATGCGTGAGCAGAAGGTGCTGGTCCTACACTGGACCAACACACAGTGGAGAAGGTGCGTTCGGTACACTCACCAACACAGCAGTGAGACGACGGCTGCTGGATACGACCTACCACACACACAGTGCAGAGACGTGCTGCGTACACTACCAAACACACAGTGGACGCAGGTGCCTGGGCACACTACCAACACATGAGTGCAGAGAGCGTGCTGTACACTACCAACACACAGGTGAGCAGAGGTGCTGGTGACACGACCAACACACAGTGACGAGCAGGTGCTGCGCTACACTAGCAACCACACGAGTGAGAGAGGTGGAAGTGGGGGAATGCTGCGCGACACTACCAACACATGGTGAGAGAGGTGCTGTGACACTACCAACACACAGTGAGAGAGGTGCTGGTACACTACCAACACACAGTGAGAGAGGTGCTGGTACACTACCAACACACGGTGAGAGAGGTGCTGGTACACTACCAACACACAGTGAGAGATCGCTGCTGGTACACTACCAAAACACAGAAAAACCTTCCCTTTGAAAGCACCCCCTATCTCAGGACTGCCAAAATTTCTGAACCCCCCTTTCGCGGGCTTTTTGCGGGTTTTTCCTGCCTTGGAGAACCCCTTAAATCCGTAACACTACGTATAAACTGGTACCCGTTCGCCACCTTCATTCCGGTACGTATCCTTCGCTACACTGACGTAGTGACGTTAGTGTAGCGTGTGGAACTGTAGACCGGGTACACGCAGTCTACACTACGTAGTGTAGAGTTCAGTGATCGAGGGGAACTAGGAAGCAATATTTTTATTTTTCAAAATAAAATAATCCTGAATGAGCTTTCAAAACTAGCAGGAATTTCAGGAATTTGATCCCAGGATTTGATAAAGTTTTCTATGATATTCAAGATGAAAGAGAGAGGAAAAACACCCCCTTTTTAAAGAAATCTCCGGGTGAAAAGTCAAATACACCCCCTTTTTTACAATTCTTGGGCCGGATTTTGTCGCGCGAAAAATACCCCTTTACCGGAGATTTTGGGAACGCGCATGCGGTCCTTCCGACCTCGGAGTGGGGGGGGCCGGGCTGGTACACTACCAACACACAGTGAGAGAGGTGCTAGTACACTACCAACACACAGTGAGAGATCGCTGCTGGTACACTACCAACACACAGTGAGAGAGGTGCTAGTACACTACCAACACACAGTGATGGACTAAAGACAAAACACTGGTGGCAAGTAACGCAGGTTCCTCACGTGTGAACACACAGCCACTACACCACACGATTTCGTTGTCTTCTGAAATTTAAATTTCTAGGAGTAACTGCAGGAATTAGGGTATTATCGTTTTCATATAGGATTTGATAGTGTAATGTTGCTGTAGAATGTGTTTATTCACAATTATTTCTAGTGTTCTGTCCTGTTTACTATTACTGATGTACATTCAGAATTTTCTCTTTCGTGTATATATAGATCTATATTTGTCTGAATTTTTAGCATTCCAGCTCACATAAAGAAGAAATCATATAATAATAGATTATTTTCTACCTTACTTAGGCCACAATTAAAAATAGTAATAAAGCAACTGCCACCATGCAATTAGATGCATCGCTTAAGTTAAAATTATTATTTTATAGTCCGGCTACATACGAATTTATTTACCAGTAATATAAATGCATCAATGCGAAAAACCTGCATGCACTTGGGGCTAGAACTGCACTGTAATTTTCTTACAATTGCGTGCAATTACTGTGTTAAGAAAACACGTGTATATTAGAAATAATTATTTTTGGTAAATCACATTTGACACAGTATCTTTTCATTACTAAATCATTGTATGTATTATTGGCAGTTTATTACCATTACTTTATTATCAAGAGATATGGGTGTGTAATGTGAACCAATCGATGAAAACATACGACGAATAAACAATTATGCTACATGAAAGTGGAAATGTTATTTAAAAAAGATTCATGGTAAAATTAAAAACAGCTACTAGTACATCGTGGAGTTTATTAGCAAGCACAACACCTGTAACCTTATATTTATAAGATAACTGCGCAATTTGTTCTGTGCATAGTGACATTCTACATCTTGCCCAAACCTACACAAGACCGAGGCATTGTGGAATACGCTAATTGGTGGTCATATGCAGCCGCATTTCCACAGTGCTGTCTAAAGCTAGTGCGTAACATGTCATATGATTAGATACCAATGTCCACCTTCAACACATGAACAAATGCAGCAACTAAATCAATGATAACACTTCAAGAAACCAACATACGGTATTAAAGACGTCTGCCTACACGTAATATATTTATATCTTGTAACACAATTCTAGAAGACACCAAAATATGTGTTAACAAAAACTGGCTTGTATATAAATTATTGGGCTACTTAAAATATTTTTTTTTTAGAACATTTGTTGCTAAAACTGAATCAATATCTCAAACCAGATCACGACCAATTCCCTTTATTACTGGCTGCCTTTGGAATACAGAGCCCTTACGAATGGGAAAATCTCACGTTAATAATTTCACAATCATGAATGATACTGGTTTAGAAACAAGTTTCAGCAATGTTTTCACTCAGTAAATATCAACTTTGATTGAGGAAAATAGGTCTAAAACCCATGTGACTGGTCCTTTTGTTACCCATGTTCAAGACGTCAAATATAATAATTTATAGGCAACACTTTCACGCTTCATGCCTTGCACTGCACGACACGAGTTTAGATTAACTAACATAATTGTCCGTAACACAGATATCCTATTTAGCTCGCACAAACTGTAAAACTAACTGAGAAAAATTACTTGGGGTCCCACTATACAAATTAATTTGTTGCTGCAATTCCCACTGAAAGAAAAAAAACGACCAATGTATTTAGATTAGATAGTCATTCGAAACAAGTATAGTTTTCTCATTAAAAACCATTGTCCTACATTTACTTTATTAACAGCCAAATTAAGCCAGTTGAGCAAAAATTGCACAACAACAAGCACACAAACACATCAAACATGTAAACAGAATATACACCAAATATACGAGTTCTGTCCAATAATCACTAGTGCTTCCCATAGGTGGATCCAAATTCAAGCAATTATGAGTAGCAATTATTCACCATGTGACACTGAAACGTATCTTGAACAAACAACAGTATAAAAAGATGTACATTCCATCCACACGTTTTGTAAATAAGGAGCTAAGCAATCACCCACACAAATACAGAAAGAATACGTGGGCAAAGTGCAAACACTAGAAATTGTGCAATACTTCTTACAAGATTAGACTAAATATATATGTCTTACACTAATTTAACAAACCTCTACACAGATACGCATGTGCACGCACACACAAAAACAAACACACACCACTACTGTCACTCTATGTAAGGACAACCAACAAATTTTGACTTCATTTTCTTCTGCAGGGTTTGATTATATTGTTCAATAAAAATTTTGACATGCAGAAATGTACTAAATTAACTCGAACCTCTGATACTGCACCTGAAAGATTACATGTGAAGGAGGCCGCATGCTTACGATTGTCACTACTAATCAATAGCTGGTACTTACTAAACATCAAGATTGAGTTCCTATAGTGAAGCTTTGATTGAATTTTAGTGACTTTAGACTGATACCATTTGTTAGACACAGCATACAAACACATGAGAATTGAAGACCCAGCGTGCACATGATAAAAACACGATACATATTGCAAGTACTGAGTCTGAAGCTGCTATTCCCTTAAATATTACAAAGGCAAGTTGGGTAAAAAAACGCAAATGCTACAAGTACCTGATGTTAGCTGACATTAACATTGGTCATTATAAACCTAGTTATGAGAAACCGATAGCTACAGTTTGGTCAATTCTGTTCCCACAGAATGAACGCAGCATATCGTATTGGACACAAGAATGAGTTGATGTGGAGATTGTGAGACAACTGTGTAGCACAGACAGGTTAGACAATATCGGCAGCGACTGCAGGCTATCCCTCCCTACACAGATATGTTACGTTTACGCATGCCAGCAGAAAACCACGGCCTGCCAACCTAATCAATAATTTCCAGAGGGCCACAATACTGATAGTTGAAGACAATGCCAATAGTACGTGTTGTTATTAGCTATGCTTAACATCAGATGCTAACACTACATCATGCATTAGTCTTCCCTCTCACACACACCTATCTACAAAAGCTTCATTGTGTCGCTAATTGAGAAATACCATCCTCCTTCTAGTAATAAGAAATCAATGAAATTAACAGACTATTCACAGAAGAAAAAGGCTTCATATATCTGCCAAACAAACGGTTATCCCATATTCAGAATTAAAGAGGTCATTCGAGGGAAGTAGAGATCGGCAATGATTAAACCATGATATTGAGAATAAAACAATTTGTCCGGATCTGTGAAACCTGAGGTTTTTGCATGCCATTGTCTGATTAACATTCACTAGAACTATACATGTATCAACATGATTACAGGTGCTGTTTCAAACAGAGTGCGTGCTTTTGATAATTTATTAAAATCTGCATCACAACATGATCATGAGATTATTTTTAAAACAAAACCACTATTTAATAGATACATTCACATACCCACATTTGCTTCCTTGCACACATATAAGCTTTTATCAATAACCACTATAATCACTGCAGTTTAATACCTGGTGATGCTCACTTTTTAAAATTATTTCATCAACTTTAACAAAAAAATCAACTTAACACAATAATCAAAATCAGTGAGTATCACCAGAGGCCAAACTGATTTCTTTTAACAAAATTTCATTAGCTATTTTTTCAATGCCAACTGGCATGTTATTTTTTACCTAACCATCAAAACTGCCAGCTGCTTGTGACTCTTTCAAACGGTATCATAGCAACGCTACAGCCGCCTCACTCAGGGTCACTTCCCTCATCCTCTTCTTCTTCTTCAGCTTCCTCCAACCATGTCAGCCACTGATTAACCTGAAGCAGAATTCAGACTTTATATACCAGATATTTTGATGACGTTTGAGTTTTTGGAAACAGTTACCAGTTTCTAAATACTATAAGTAAACATTGGGCAATCAGGACATTCTCACACATCCTCTACTTCTCCCCCTCCCCGGGAACATCTCATGCAAGCTTACCTGGAATAGTCCTTTTCCTTTTCCTGGATAGACATCAGTGATGTCCTCCTTCCATCGTAGGAACACCTCTTCCTCTACGATTTCCATGTCATAGAAGTACATGAACATGCGTAGCAGCATTCCTGCGGCAGACAGAAGTATATAAATGTCATGCGACCTCACGCACACGAACAGCAGTACGAGTGATTACCACATCATATATACAGGGATGAGATTGGATAATTTAATTTTCAGCTGAAATTTAAATTAGCAAACAGAGGAGCGAGCAATGGGAGGACCGTAGGTAATCGCCATGCTAGGGCTTAATTTAAAAGAATGGTGCAATTTGGTGCATTCTAAGCTATTCTGAACACATTATAGGAGACTCTTGAATCACCTTTTCAAGTTGTCAAAAGGAACAAACGAACTATGAATAGGAAATCAGGGGGCTGAAAAGAGAGCAAGTTTTTTTATTAAATGTCTAGACATAATGATATTTTTCTGTTTCCACCCGTCGCTTGCATTGTTTTACTCAGACATAAGCTGCCTTGCTGCGACGAGATTGGAATGAAAAAAACACAATGCGAATGGAACAATGCGAACACAACATGCACGCAGCAACATGTAAACCCGGGGGGCCATTGTCAGAAACAAAATTAGTCGCAACATTATTCTTACCATTAACTTCCACTCGTAAACCGTTGACAGAAACATCGTAATGTTACGAGAACGAAAAATCCTCGGAAATATCCTCATAACATTACGAGAGCCCAGACCCTCTCGTAACTTTAATATTAAGATAAAAATAACACATTTAGACAAAGAATTACAATTATAGTGATATAATATTTTATATTAATGAGTAATATCATGTGTTTTTCTTGAAAAACACGTCAAAAACATTAATTATCCACCGATCGTAAACCAAAAGAAGTGCCGCGGAGCGACAGCGCTCATCTAACGTCTACTGCGGTGACTCTGTGGTGGAGTGGTGGGATTCTAGTAAACCCTGTTAGTCCCAAATGTGTTCCACATACCACGGCCTAATAGCAGTGAATCGCCAAAGCCGGATCGGTATCAGGAACCTTCTCAAAGACGATGTTCGTTGGATCGTTATGAAAGTTGCCACGAATGGGCGTACGCTTTAAGTGCTCTTCAGATTAAGATGGAAGCCCTCTCATCGTACGTCAGTAGCCAACAACATTTGCCAAAACACGAGAGGTTAAGCACCCTCATCCTTACCTACGCCAAGCTCCTACAGCTGCCCAAATTGCAATAGAGCAGCTCCGCCACCTGTAACCAATAACCGCCAGGCAAAAGACACTACACCAGTACTATCGACAACACATGCACTGCGCCAGCTAGCACTGGGCCGAGTGGCATACGTTACATGCTACGATACTGCCAGTACAGCAATGCCATAGAAATCTATCACGACTTTAAGTCAGCATAAACCGGTCTTCAAGCAGAATTTAGCTTTGAAATTTCACTGTGCACATTGTAGCCTCATACATCCAGCATGTATACGCATTCCTATAGCAACCCAGCCCAGTCAAATTCTTTCTAACACAGTAACAGCTAACAAATCGCATGTTTCAAATCCTCCTCCTTGAGGGTCCTAAAAGGTTATCAGAGCACTTACTCTGTCGCAGTCGAGGGCGCAAAGGCAACACTTTCCATGGTCCTATTCAATAAAGCCCATAAAAATGCTAGGTCACAGCTGAAACAAAAAAAGTTTTCCAACTCGCCCGCCACACCAGTCTCAGCGAAAAAATATCTAAAATCTCGCCCTGTGCCCACTTGACCTTGACCTGTGACCGCCAATTCTCGCACAGTGATGGCTTTCCTACCATGCATGCTATACACGCACGTATGCACGAGCCTAGGTCGAGCCGTTGTAGATTCTGGTGCCCCCGCAATTCGGCAGTTTCCTCCGGCGGCGGTATGAGCGCGTGTAAGGCTTAGAGGCGGGGGAGGGGAATGGTTCCCCCTGTCTGTGGTCTACAGCCTCGTTGACCTGTGGACTTGACCCAGCTTCGACAATCCCAACTCGTTTTCGGATTACCCCCCACGTCCGAATATCGTGACCGTACGTTCGGCAGCGCGTTAATGATTGCTGCCCAACTGTTGACGGATCGGCGACGGCGTCGGACGGACGGACGGACGGACGGACGGACGATCATGCGATTCTACAAGCTGCATCTGACTATGTCAGATGAGCTAACAATACATTTACAAATGGCGTATGGCATTTGTTCTCTTGTTTGAAATGCTTGCACGCTTGCCACGACTCTCGCGTTAACAGTGTGAGAATTTGTCTTGGTGTGCAGAATAAATTCATGACCACGTCGTTTTTCTTTAAATATTATTTATATGTGGTTAGCCATCATAATATGCATAAATTACTGTGATGTACAATAAATGTGTATGAATTTGAATTTTGTGATCGATTCTCATCCAATCAGCAGCCTTGTGATGAAGTTCCTGTTATCGTAAGTTTTCTAATAGCTGTGATGTGTTTCTGTCAACGGTAGTCTCGCAACATTAGCATTAGTCGTAAGTGTTATCGTAGCATCAACATTAGCATTAACTTTACGATGTTTCTGACAACGGGCCCCCGGCCCCCAGGCCAGGCCTGGTCGTTACGTGATCAGCTACCTCAAATGTTTGCCCCTCTACTGCAGCCTGTGAACGAGGATTTTCTTTTCTGGTACGCAAAAACAGATACACTGTATACTTCGCTGTCAGTCTACTGTCTACACTCTACAGTTTACAGTCAGGTGCTGTTGAGGGTATATAATTTAAATTGTTACATTGTTACCCACCTCCCAATTTTCTCAACGAATTTAGACGTTTCACAAAATCGACCCCTGGAACTGTCAAATCTGCAGATTTCCGCGGATCCGCGGAAGAATCTCATCCCTGTATATAGATAGTCTCATGACCTTGCCGCTCACCTTTCGGGAATTGGTTCTGGTAGCAGTGAACTTGTAGTGCATACAGTGCCACCAGCTGTAAGTTCGGGTAATCATGTATCATCAGTTGAAGCACAGGCTGCAACAAGATACAATGGATTACTCACTAGCATTTGACGTGTTGGTAGGTAGACAACAAGTGCCGCGGAGCGACAGCGCTCATCTCACGTCTACTGCGGTGACTCTGTGGTGGAGTGGTGGGATCCTAGTAAACCCTGTTAGTCCCAAATGTGTTCACATACGCGCCGAAACAGTAGAAGGCATAGGGATGGCATCAGGAACCTTCTCGAAGGAATGTTCGTTGGGATCGTTATGAAAGTTGCCACGAGATGGTACGTACGTTTAAGTGTCTTAAGATTAAAGATGGAAGCTTCCATCGTACGTAGTAGTAACAACTATTGCAAGACAGAATAGGTAAGCACTCATCCATTTACCTACGCAAGCCTACAGGCTGAAATAGAGAGCTGCCACCTGTAACTAATTAACGCAGGCAAAAACTACACAGTACTATCACCACCACATGCACTGGCAGTAGCTACTGGCAGTGGCATAAGTTACATGTAACACACTGACAGTACAGAATGCCATAGAAATTATGATTTAAGGAGCATAACCTTCTTCAACCAAATTTAGCTTTTGAAATTTCACTGTGACATTGTAGCCTCATACGTCCAGGCATGTATAGATTCTACTAGCAAACCCGGCAGTCAAATTCTTTCTCAACAGTAAACAATCCATGTTTAACCCTCCTCTTGAGGGTCAAAAGTTATCCGACACTTACTCTTGGCATGTCTGCGGAAACTACATTTCATGGTACTTTCAATAAAGCCATAAAAATGCTAGGTCACCGCTGAAACAAACATTTTTTTCAATAGCTCCATCAGACCTGTCCTCAGAAAATGTCTAAAATCTGCCCTGTGCCCCCATTGACCTTTGACCTGTGACCTCCAATTTCGGCACAGTGATGGCTTTTCCTACCATGATGCATGCTATACACCGACTATCACGAGCCTAGGTCGAGCCGTTTAGATTTGTGCCGCAATTCTGCATTTCCTCCCTATACCTTAAGTTAAGGAGTGAATGTTCCCCCTTCTTTTACACCTCTTGACCTTTGACCTTTGACCCCCAGCTTCGACCCCCCTCGTTTTCGGATTTCCCCCCCCAAGTCCCGACTTTCGAATCCGTACGTCGAGCCGTTTAGATTTGTGCCCAACTATTGACGGATGCACGGACGCACGCTCATGCGATTCTACAAGCTGCATCTGACTATGTCAGATGAGCTAAAAATGAAAAATCCCTTCACTTCACACAGTCAAAGAGTTACATACAAAATGCAAAAAATAATAATTTTAATGCAACAGATAAATAAATAATCCCTTTGGAATAAAATGTCATTTGTACAATGTACTGTTAGCAGCACATTAATTACTCGGCTACACTCAGCCACGGTAATCATTACTGAACAACATTACAAAAGATTCATTACATTTCAGACTTTGTGAGGGCCTTTAGTACTAGATGGGACACACATGGCAGACTACGTATTACTGACATACCTGGCTATCGATTTTTACAATCAGTAACGAGACACGCAAAGATGCACACTGCAGTACATACCTTTAGCCTGTCCACAAGTTCCTTCTCTTGCTCCTGCGTTGTTTTCTCCGGAGGTTGCTGGGGATCAACTCCATCTCCTAGCGTTGTTAGCGACGTGATGTACTTAAGTAAACTATATTAAATAATATGAAATTATCAAGTGGTCAGTCCTTTGGTAGTGTGTAATGCATGTGTCACACATACTAGAAAGCTTGCGAGAACCTACAGCTGGGATCAGCAATCTTGACATTCTGCAGCCGGATATCCGCGCGAAGCGCGCCAACGCCGCCCTGGCGGCGCTCTAACACGATTTCGCTGCCCCCCTCCTTCACCTTACACGGTTTACATATATAACGCAAGCACCAACTTCGCTGAATTGAGCAGTTCTGGCCATTCGACGATCGGTTTGACTACCCAGGGAGCTCGACATTTCTTAGAAATGCTCCTAATTCGAAGTTCGCGAGTCGGCGCGCTTTCTTTGCTGTAATAAACGTATTTCAAGTTTCTTCTTTGTTTGTTGTTGTTGATGAGTGTAGTACATATTGCGTGCGATAGACGGCGCAACGAATGCCGAATCTATAGGCATAGTAGACTGGTACCCGTTTGCCACCTTTACTCCGGCATATCTCTACACTCACGTAGTGTAGCGTCTGGAACTGTTGACCGGGTACCAGTCTATATGTGTAAGTGTAACTCTCTTATTCATGTTGTTTGTGCACGCAGCACAGCTATGTTGTAGTACTACTACTAGTATTAGATTTCGTGTTTGTTTAGCATTATATTTTATTGAAACGTTTCAAGTGCCTGTGCACAGCGCGGTCGTGCGTTCGGTGTACTTGTGTGTTGCAGATGAGCATTTGACCGGCATTTACAGGTGATTATAGGCGAAATAGAGTAGAGAAACATTAAGACTTTGGTACATTCCACACCTACGAATACTTCTATTACTACAAGTACATGTTACAATAATTACTAGTAAGTACTACTAAGTTACCAGCACTACTAGTACTAGTACTAGTAACTACCAGGACGGCAGGAGCTAATAGTAATAATGACTAACTCTGTTACTAGTAACTTACTAATAATGACGAACCCTAACCATAACCCTAACCTATTATATTGATATAATATTATATTTATATTAATGTAAATGACATTGGTTTTATTGCCCATGTCATACATTGGGGCCCATATAATATTGGGACCCATGTTCTCTATCCTTGAACCACTAGTACTACTAGACTACTACGACTAGTACTACTACTACTAGTTACTATAGTATAGTACTACTA